TTTTTAAAAGCTTCCTAAGTGAGTCTAACGCACAGCTGTGGTAAAGCCTACCTCATGGAATAAGAGGACCAATCTTAAGGAATTATGCCAACAGAGGCTTCACAAATACAGGCGTCATTCACATACACAACCAACAAAGGAAAAACATACACCGTTATTGCAGGGCATTGCTAGGATTGTGCCTGGGTGCCCACAGGCAGGTTCTGTACAAGAGGACAGTAGCCAAGGCTTAACATACATTTTGAACAAAAATTCCTCAATAAAAAGTATTTTTTAAAACCTTGTAATACAATGGCATTGGAAGTGAAGACCAGCAGAAAGAGAGTAGAGGCTTATCAGAGCAGAGAGGCAAAGAGCAAAGCTAGGGTTATGTGTAAGTGACATCTACATAGTGTAATTTCTAAAGACCTACTGATTCAAACCTCCCTTGTGAAAAACTCAATCCTTCGGCTTAAAACACTGACTCTTGTTAAAATGGAAATACCTGTGAATCACATCTGACTGGGTCCATCATTTTCTTACCTGAGAACACATTGTAATGCGGTGGGGAAAGAGGTGGAAACACAGATGGAAGACAAGTGGGTGTTGACAAAAAAGGACACATACTGGGAAGGGTATCATGCAGACAGCAGCAGCTGGAGAAATATCATCACTTTGATTTACTGTTATTTAAAACAGAACTGCTCAAAACTATTGGACTATTAAGATATGCTATGTGTTTTCCTTGCCTATCCTGCTGAGGAGCTTTTTGGCTCACTCTGGCCTCTGCTGCTAGCTCCTGAATTGGGTAGAAAGCAACAGGAAAACAACCTCGTCCCATGGGAGATGTCCCGGTGGTCTAGGCTGGCCCTGAGAGTGAGGGCTCTGAGATCCAGCCTGAGGATTTTCCTCTGACTCGCTGTGTGGCCTCCAGCCAGTCTCCAAACAGCTTTCGTTTCCTTGTATGTCAAACCAAGATAAATACCTAACTTCCCACTTCTCTGGGGCATTGTAAGCCTTCACTTCTGCCACTTTCATTAACGTTTGTCCAAAGACCATAAGAAGAAAGTTTTTAAAAAGTTTTAATATGAATTACTTTTACTACTTATGTAGCATTAGGTAGAAAGGAGAATGTATCAGGAGGGTGAGATAATGGAGAACACAACAGCCTCACTCAGAGAAGCAGTGTTTGTAGTGGAAAAGAAACACAAAAGGGGTTTTGGGTTTGGGGTGCAAAGGAGAAAAGTCTACAATTGGTACCAGATGCCATCAGAAGCTAACGACCTGACAAACTCCGTCCTCATAAAACAAATTCCTTAAAAAGGAAGCAAATGGAAATATAAGCTAGTGAAAGAATTTGCAACAGCTGCCCTAAAACCATTTCTCACTTCATAAACAGGTCTGGGTTCGGTCCTTCTTTTTGGTATTGGTCTTATTTCATGCCGCTTTTCCCTCTCATATTCTCCCCTGTCTCATATTCTCCCCTCTCATATTCCGCCCTTGCTGCTCCTGCTGGACAGGCTTCTCACACTGGTAGTCATAGCAGTAGTGGTTCCCATCCTGATGGAGGAAGGCTCGTGCAGAGCATTTGTTTTGTGTCTTGTCTCAACACCTATTTGTCCTCAATGATGGCGTGGATTAATTGGGTGAAGTCACTCAAAAACAGCACTTGCTCTTTTCACCTTAATTTCTTTCCGATAAACTGATGTGAACCAGAGGATTCATGACTCTGTTTTCCAGTACTTCTTGCTCAACATGCTGAAGAAGAGTTTATGTTTGGGACATCCATACCATGCGGCATCTAGAGAACTAGGAGTTCTTTAGCATCACTAATGAAGCATCTTGATCACATGCCATAAAGGATGGTTAGATTTTATCTTCCTTATCAGATGAATTAAATAAATATTTGAAGACAAATATTTATTTCCTACATTGTATATCAGCATTGAATTTGGGGGGTTCATGCTAACTCATCAACACCCCCCAACTTACTTATTTCTTCCTTCATCAGGTCCCATAATGGATAATTCATCATCACAGGAAATAACCAGGCTTTAAACTTGTGAAAACATTTTTTTTCACACCAATCACCTTCAATTCTTCCAACTCCTACCTAATAAACATAGATAAAAGAAATGAGGGTATCACTGGCATATAATTTAAATCCCAAGGGTATAAGATCAGGGGCCACAACTGTAGCATATTTAGTTAGAATCCACCCTTTTTGGGCTAGTGCTTCTTAAGTCAACTCTCAATTATTTGAAGGTATTACATGCATATTTGATGACATTTTGTTTTCTACTGTTTTTATATTGTTGCCTAGATGTTTGATGAAGTCGTTGATCGCTAACACAATTCAGGGGCAAACAGAGCACGCTACTGAGGACAAGATTTATAGCAGTTGTATTTTTCGGTTAATAATTAGCACCACGGGCAACATCAAGAGCAAGAAAATATCTTGTTAGTCTTCCATACAAGACTATGTATTCCCTAAGAGCATGGTTCTAGTACCAAAGGTACTCAGATTGAGGGCTTCCCAACAGTAAGTGCTTAGTACGTGCTTATTAACAAATGAGTGGAGCAAGATGGTTGAATTAGTGCTTAATGTTATTTTCGTATTTCAGATCCTTATTTACTGTTATAAAACTTAACAAATTTCTCATTTTCATAGCCATGGACTGACTCTGCCGTCTAAAACATGAGCAATCTTAATTCAGCTAATTTTAATTGTGTCGACTACAGCATGGCATAAAAAGTGAATAAGAGTCAGTTTTCCTCTTCAAAATGTCCATAATCTAGTTGTGACGTTCAGCATTGAGGAGACACTCAGATACTAATTACTTTGTGAATAAAAGAATAAATACATTAACTCATTAATTACAGAATGAGAAAATGCATACCTAACTATAACACAAGATAGAAAGAAATGCTAGGAGAGAGTTATGTTTTTGACTTCACTGGGAAGTTCAAAGGAAGAGGATATTTGTGTTGCTATAACTAAATGCCTGATACTGGGTAATTTATAAAGGAAAGAGATTCACTTAGCTGATGGTTCTATAGGCTGGGAAGTGCAAGAAACGTAACGCCAGCATCTGCTCAGCTTTTTTGCTGTGTCATACATGGCAGAAGCAAACACATGCAAATGTGCAAAACCTGAGAGGCACCCTCACTTTAAAACAGCCCACTCCCATGGGAATGAACCTATTTCAGTGAGAACTAATTCAGTCACAACCACCACGTGAACAGCACTAAGCCGTTCATGAGGGATCCACCCTCATGACCCAAACACCAATACGGCCACATTGGGAATCAAATTTCAACATGAGTTTTTATGGGGACAAACCATATCCCAACCATAGCAGAAGGCCTTTTAGAAATCGCAACAAGCTGAGCAAAGGTACAAATGGGAGAACAAAAATGTAGGGTGACTAACAGCAAACAGACCAGTGAGGCCTTTTGCAGTTAAGCAGTAGAGGAAGAGCAACTCTGTGAGGTTGCCATAATTATCCCCATCTTGTAGGGGAAGGAGCTGAAACACTTGGAAATGAATAACTCACTCCAAATGGCACAGATAGTAAATGATGGGTCCAGACAGCCCGAGGCTAATGCCCTAATTGTTTTTTGTTTTTTGGTTTTTTTTTTTGTATTTTTTTTTATTGCATTTTAGGTTTTGGGGTACATGTGATGAACATGCAAGATTGTTGCATAGGTACACACTTAGCAGTGTGGTTTGCTGCCTTCCGTCCTCTCACCTGTATCTGTCATTTCTCCCCATGCTATCTCTTCCCACCTCCCCACCCCCCCACCCCTCCCCCATTTCCCCCCAACGGACCCCAGTGTATAGTGCTCCCCTCCCTGTGTCCATGTGTTCTCATTGTTCAACACCCACCTATGAGTGAGAATATACGGTGTTTGATTTTCTGCTCTTGTGTCAGTTTGCTGAGAATGATGGTTTCCAGGTTCATCCATGTCCCTACAAAGGACGTGAACTCATCGTTTTTGATGGCTGCGTAATATTCCATGGTGTATATGTACCACATTTTCCCTATCCAGTCTATCATCGTTGGGCATTTGAGTTGGTTCCAGGTCTTTGCTATTGTAAACAGTGCTGCAATGAACATTCGTGTGCACGTGTCCTTGTAGTAGAATGATTTATAATCCTTTGGATATATACCCAGTAATGGGATTGCTGATGCCCTAATTGTTAACCTCTATGGTTCTGCCATGGCAACAGGGTAACACTTGTTTTCCTCCAGTGTATTCTTGCTGCTGTTATGGTCCAGGCTGAGTCTAGGTCGGCCCTAGCAATCCAAGCAGCAGTTCTTTGCTGAGAGGATGTCTGTGGAAGCATCTAGCATAAGATTAGGCATGAGACATGGATTGAAGATATGTCAGTTTCCTCTTACAGTAATCGATTCAATTTCTGCTCAGCCTGTGCTAGTTTTCAGTGGTATGTACTGCTGTGGCTTTGTGATTGTCAAAACATTTCCATACCAGTCGGTAAATTGGTGTTGCCTTCTGTTATCTCAGATATCTAGTCCCTTCAGACACTGCCTTCTGTGTCACGTTGTGAACAAACAGTTGACGGATTGATGTCTGACATAACTAGGGGCCTCCAGGATTCACTCCACAGCTTTGTCCTGGATTTGTTCTAATTGCTTGGGACCCAGCAGTACTAGTTGTTAAACATTTTGAATGTCATCCCATGATCTATTCATTTCTGAACCATGCCGAACTTTCAGAATCTGTTCTCTACCTTATTTCATCACATTTGATCCTCCTGGAAAAAAGAGCCACGGAAACTCAGCTAATTGTTACTACTTAGCTGTTATTTTTTATGTTTTTTTTTTATGCTGCATGGTATTGGGTAGTAGAGAAAAACGATTATGAGTTAAATATTGGTTTTGGAGAAAAATTGTTCTCTCTGGTTTAGAAGCCCTCCCAGAAGGAGGTGCAAAGTCATTGCTGCTGTCTATTGGTTCTCAACCTGTCCTAAGATGCTTCTGTTTCTTTCATCCCAGCTGTGTCCATCGGCCCTGTGGGAGGCACGACAGCTGTCCGTCATTGCTGCTTGATCACGCTGATGTGATAAACTGTACCTCTGTAGGCCCAGGTCTTATGAAGTGTGCTATCACTTGTCAAAGGGGATTTGCCCTTCAGGCCAGCAGTGGGCAGTACATCAGACCCATGCAGGTGAGTTGAAATATCGTGATCACCAGGACCAGGTTCCTGGGAAGGGGAGGTATTCATGCTCTTAACTCTGGCTCCACAAGGAAAGAACAGATGTTTTAAAACCATTTGAAAGAAAAACATGGGGGGCTTTAACAAGCAGAGGGAAGCATGGCTTAGTAGAAATGCAAGGTATCTAAAAGTATGTACAGGGTTGTAAATTTTTCCTAAGGTGGGCAGTAAATGAGAATGTTTGTTCTTCTCCCTTGTGTCTTTCTGTCAGAAATTATGTTCCTTCCTTTTGCCTTTAAGATGAGAACACCACAGTTCAGACATGTGCGTTTTCAGGAAAGATTGGTTGTAATCAACATGTCTGTGGTTCACATTGTCCATCCTCCGACAACCCTCCTTACAGAAAGACTGGAGAGATAGAACCTGATTTTCTCCCCGGAAGAGTTAAAGCTGTTACCGAGGCAGAGATTCTATCATGATTCTAACTCTGGCCAAATTTTCCAAATTTCTACGAGCTCCATTTCAGATTTTTACAGTACCATTTTCAGAATTTCAAGATGGTTTGGAGGTAGTAGAATATGTAGATTAACAGGATGGCTCAGGAGACAGATCAGAATTAAATTTTGGCTCCACTATATATGTGTAACTTTGGGTTAAAAGAAAGTTACACATATATAGTGGATGTGTAACTTTGGGTTAAAAAGAAAGAAATTAATCTCTTTAAGCTTGTTTTCACATTTTAAAAATGATTAGAACAGAGAACTTATCTGATTGAGTAATTATGATGACTGGAAATAATTTAAATGCTTTTGGCAAAGCAGTAGGTATATAGCACTCTAACTGTTGTCAGTATTAGGAGCAGAATGGTCATGTATTCTCAACTACGTATTCTGTTTTCCATCTTTCCTTTAGAGAGTCTTCAGTACCCTACAGAGACATTGTAAACATAAAATCAACCATTAGAAAACATGACGGTATTATAAGATAGAAAAAGGACGAACTAGACAGGAGATGATTGTGCTCCAGGAGAAAAATGGAAAGATGTGGTCTCGGAGGGAAAGAGTGGACACACAACTGTTAGCTAGACATCAGTGATTTACAAGAGTTGATTTTTTTTTATTTTGTGCCAATTGATTGCTTAACAGGTTGGAGACCTGTGAGAGAATTTCACTTGCTTAGAGGTGTCAGGATTTATATGCATGCTCTTTGGCTTCAGCTGGTTTAGGTTCTGCCTAGAGAAAGCGACTTTAATATACCTTGAGGCACCAACTTCTTGCTCTGTGATGCTTTCATCAGGAAGGCAGAGCCTTTATTACCTGTTCTTCACCCATCTTGGCTCAGACAAAGGAATGTCCACTCCAGAAAAGAAATAAAAAGAATGGAAAAAAATGCAGAAACTGAATCCACTCATGATAGGTGGAGAAGGGGAGAGAAGAAAAGACAACATACATAATTCACTAAAATTAGAAGCAAATTCAGTGCAAAATGGACAATACCTAACAGAGACAGGAGAAGCACCAGGCAATATATGAAAAGTGTGAGAGGCATTCTTTTTTTTTTTTTTTTTTTTGAGACAGCCTCTCACTCTGTTGCCCAGGCTGGAGTGCAGTGGCGTGATCTCAGCTCACTACAACCTGTGCATCCCGGGTTCAAGTGATTCTCCTGCCTCAGCCTCCTGAGTAGCTGGGGCTACAGTCACATGCCACCGTGCCTGGCTAATTTTTTATATAAAAATACAAAAAGTAGAGATGGGGTTTCACCGTATTGGCCAGGATGGTCTCAATTTCCTGACCTCGGATCTGCCCCCCTCGGCCTCCTAAAGTGTTGAGATTACAGGTGTGAGCCACCACGCCTGGCCTCGAGAGGCATTCTTTAAGTGGTAGTGGCTAGCTGTGGTTAGAGCCAGACTTGCAGGCTAAGTTTCACGTGTTAGGGGCAGCATCTGGACTGAATGAGGGTGGGAGCTCCGCCTTTGACAATCACATGGCTCAGTAAGCAACAGCACTGTTCAGCTGACCAAATGTGCTGTCACCTGAGGCTGGCCCCATGAAGCAAATTATACAACCCTGCTTGTCATCACAAGACAGTGGGGATATTTGCTTTTTGTTGACACAAGAACTGAAACTAAACAGAAAAATGTGTCTGGCTTTGAATTGGGTCCTTCTGGCAAGCAATAGGGAAACACTGGGAGGCAGGGAGGAGCAGGTAGCCAGGAGTTGGCGTTGGGGTGACAGGTGCCTTCAGCAGTCATTTTACCTTTGGCTTTGGTGCTACTGTGGTTTCCTGGCAGGATGGCTGGCTCAGCCATAGAAACTCCCCTCTCTGTCTTAGACCTTTGATAATCCAGTAGCTAAAATGTTGGCTGCATGTTTTGCAAACAAGCCGTAAGCTTCTAGGTCTCCAGTTACTGGCTTGTTACATTCCCCTACCCTAGACACCTTCTTCTCCTACCTCCTCCTGTACTGCTGGGAAATCCTGATCATTTTTCAAAGGGCAATCCTGTATTACCTGCTCTGAAACTTCTCCTACATGCTCTCCTCCCTGACCAAGGATAGCAGTTCCTCCTGCAGCGCCCAAAATGCTGTTGTACCATCATACAGGAGCATGCATTATACAATGTAGCTTTATTGTTGCATATTTATGTTTTCCTTCTTCTTGATCTCAGTTTTCTACATGGTTTGCAGTCTTTATATTGCATTCTTTCCAACCATTACAGAAGGGGATAGGATATAACAAACAAAAATGTAGCTCTAACATTTTCCTTCTTTACTTTTTTTTTTGTGCCTTTCTCCCTCCTTCTCTCCTTTGTATTCTCCTTCCTTCACATATTTTTGAACCATTGTTTCAACATGCGATTTGCTTGCCTGATAGTTTTTTTGGCTCCTGGAGAGTGTCTTGTTTAGGACAGGACCCGGCCCTTCTAGGTGCTCAGTAAATGTCTCTGCACTGAATTAGTAGCATTGTGCTCTAGGGCTACCCTACTGAAATGACAGGCCCTAGGAAATGGCTAGACTCTCTCACATTTAGCCACAAGGTTTGGAAGATTCCTTGTATGCATTAGCTCTCAGCACTATTCTCAGTGGAGTTAATTATTTTCAGCAGCATTATCAGTTGGCTTATTAATAAGAGTGCCAGCAGGAGACAGGTGACATACTCGAGAGTGGGAAATTTGAGAGAATTTAATCAAGGGACCACTCATAAATGTGCAGGCAGGATATGGGAAAACCACAGGGAGATGGAGTAGTGTCCCCGGTCGAGAGGCTCAGTTATCACCCCAGGCCTGAAAGGTTTACTGTAGGAGTGCAGAATCACAGGAAGAAGGAGCTGAAACTGTGTGAAGCAGGCTTCCAGAAGATACAGCCAACCTGCAGTGAACCTTGAAAGACAGTGGGGAGAATCAGCACCCTGGCACCCCTCTTCTCCTCTCCCTCTCAAGGCTCCTGACACCAGGTCCTGAATCTGAATGCAAGCACAAGTCAGAGGCATGAAACCCACTAGCCCAGAGCAGGGTGGAGAAGGGAAGAGAATAGGTCTGGAGAAGCAGCTGGAAAGCAGCTTGCCATTCAGTGATTCTCTGACGCTAGTAGGCTTCTTTTATCAGTATCATACTGAGTATTGTAAGAATGTATGTTAAAACAATGAGGCCTAAAGAGGGAAAAAGGCAAAAAAGTTTGTCCTGTTTTAAATGTTTGGGCAGATAATGACCGAGACTCTTCTAAAGCCTGGAAACTACTCTGATAAGCCTTTTAAAAATGTGACTTTGACAGAAGCAATTTCTCTGTTTCTAGAAGGAAGTTCTGCTCACATGTTCTTCTGGGCACTGGGACCGGAATGTGAGCTGCCTTCCCGTGGACTGCGGTGTTCCTGACCCATCTTTGGTGAACCATGCAAACTTCTCCTGCTCAGAGGGAACCAGCTTTCTGAAACGCTGCTCAATCTCTTGTCTCCCACCAGCCAAGCTGCAAGGTATTGTCTGGCTAACCAGGAAGTATATGCAAGTTCTCTTTAGTCCCTCACTCTTGAGGGTATGTTGCGGTTCTTTTCTTTACCCTGACTCCTTTCCCATTTGCTCCAGTGTGTCAACATCTTCTGATAATTCCAGAAAAGTCCCAAAGGGCAACACCATTCTTTGTCCCCAACTACGTGGAAGGATGCACTGGCTCAGATTCTCCTGAATGAAAGAATCTGAGACTTTCCTCTATTTGTATTTGACGTTGTATACCCCAGAGGAAAGCCTACTAGAATGGTTGTCTTGATAATATTCATAATCAAGCTACATTTTATTGTACACATTTTAAAATTTAATATTTACAACCATCTTCAGAGTAATTTGTCAATTTGTCCCTGACTTTAGTGCTGCTGGGTAGAGATGAAGATGGGGTGGAGCCTGCTCTAACTGATGGCTTCTTAGAATTGGTGTGCCTAACAGTGACTCAGGAAGCTTGCTATAATTGCAGACTCCTGAACCTTTCTCCAAGATATTCTTGTTTAGTGAGTCTGGAGTGAGATAATAATGCTATGGTGAGTAGTTCATGGATTGCATTTGGAGAAACCACGAATTGTACTGAGGCATATGATGTAGTGTTTAAATACAGAACTCTGCATCCAAACTACCTTTGTTCAAACCCTGATTCTGCCCCTTACTACCTTGGGCAGGTTACCAATCCCCGATTTCCTCATCTGCATAATAAGAGATAATAATAGGATCTGTTTCATAGGGTTGTTTGAGGTTTGAAGTTTACACAAGTTAATACATGTAAAATGCTTAGAATTGTGCCTACCATATAATAAGCACTATAAAAGTGTCATCTGTTATTATTTTAATGCTTTCCATGATACTTTTTTATTGTTGGTAGGAAAAGAAGTAATGGTTTATTTGGTGGCCATTCTTTCATCTGGGTCAAGAAAGATATATCTGACCTCTGTTGTATATAAGAGCATCACACTGGATACTCCATAAGTAAAAAGACGCAGGACAAACATTTGACATGGGATTTTTGAGATGCTGTTCAAGAAAGAATAATGTGACTTTTGAAAGACACCAGTATGTTGAGAGGTTTTCATTTCATCTGCTATTATCTTTCTGGGGTCTCTCTTCTGAGCATCTCTGCTTCTCTTTCCTGGATTCAGGACTGAGCCCGTGGCTGACATGTCTTGAAGATGGTCTCTGGTCTCTCCCTGAAGTCTACTGCAAGTTGGAGTGTGATGCTCCCCCTGTTATTCCGAATGCCAACTTGCTCCTGCCTCACTGCCTCCAGCCCAACCATGACGTGGGCACCGTCTGCAAATATGAGTGCAAACCAGGGTACTACGTGGTGGAGAGTGCCGAGGGTAAAGTCAGGAAGTAAGTTGAATTGTTCCTGGCCTTTGCGGTTCTACCTACCTCGCTGCTGGTTGTGTTTGTTTTCCTGTATCATCTCGTTTTACCTACAGGGATATATTCTCCAGTCACGACAGGCAGGTGACCTGCTGTGCTTTCTGCAAATGTATTCTCTCTCATAGAAGATCCCACAGTCTCACTTGAGTACTTTTTAATAGTTTCTGCCCTAATGATTGCTTTCCTTGAAAGTAAGAGTTAGCAGTGTCCCAAATGTTATCCATGTCACCTGACTCCAACTCTGTGCTGGCATATCCTTGTCAGCCCAGTTTGCAATTGCAGGCCTGGCTGGGTACCCAGTGCAGACACTTAGGAGCTGTGGATATTGGGAAGATTCCTTTCTCTGCCTCAGTGTTCTTTTCTGTAAAAAGGGGATGATGATAATCATACCCACCAGTTAGGGCTGATATAGGAAGTAAATTAATTACATGAATAAAACATAAAATTTAGTAAATTTGTTTTTAAAATATGAAACAACTCGTTTTACTATTAATATTGTTATTATATCTTCCTGCTTTCTCCTTTCTGATTTTTATATATGTGCACTCCTAGACCCATGGCCAGAAACACTTTCTTCCCCAGTGTCATGGGGATCTGAAAGAACAAAAGCTTTATAATGTAATTTAAGAGGAAGGGCTTCCAAGAGAGTTATCTTGGGGTTCAAATCCTCATCCCCCATTTATCAGCTGAGTTACCTCAGGAAAGTTATTTAACTCTTTGGGTCTTGGTTTCTTCTTTCCCTCTAGGTCTCCTTTTTATCCTTTTAAGTTTAGGATAATGCTTGCATTAGTGTTGAGTTGAAGGATAATTCAGCCTTCAACTCAATATCCAACTGAAGGTTGACTCAATATCCAGCCCAGTGCCTGACTTGTGCCAATCACTCAATAAATGATTTCAGAAAAAGAAACTTTTTTCTGAGTGAACAAAAATCTTTCAGAAAAATGAATTCCTTGCATTTAGGAAATAGTAGCTATTCTTTCTCTACCATAAATTATGTACGTACAGGAGAAAACCAAATTTGTTTCTTACCTAGCACTTAGTTCAAAGCCTGTCGATGCATATTCTTTAAAGATTTTGTTTTTGAACTAACAAAATCCCAGCCATGGTATGGCCAGTGATGCCTGGGCAAACAGCCTTTGATTGTAAGCTAGGATGGTCTAAGGGGACAGAAAATAAACTAGGAAACTGACTATCTGGCTCACACTTACCCTTTCTCTAGTTGATCTCCCACCCGTGTTAACATTTGGCCAATAGAGCAATGGCCTCTCCCAGGGCCTTCCACTCTAGAAAAGGCCCAGGCTCATATGTGGAAGGGGAAGAGTGAGCCTATACCCTGCCCTTTCCACCAGAGGGAAGGGTCAGACTGATTAGAACATAAACAATACTGATGAAAAATTCACAAGAGGCTACACTTTCTAGTTCAGTGGTCTCTAGCAGGTATAGTAAACAGTTTTTGACAACCAAGAGCACATTTGCATGTGATTTTCATAGCACCTAGAGACAATTTGCATAGAGACATGCATTGACAGGCAATGAGTATCCAGGTAATACTCAAGTAAAGATGTTATTACAATTAGCCTGAAAGCTGCTGTTTTCTTGCTTTTCTTCTCTCTTCTCTTGCCTCCCTTATTACACATCAGCAGCCACCTCAGATATCTGCAGAATAAGTACTATGAAGAGTAAATGACCAGGGGGCCGGAGAAATGTCTCAGGACCAGGAAGAATTAAAGACAGCAAGATCATCACCAGTTTTCTTGGCCATGTCTTAGCTTTATGTTGGGAAAAAATGAGGCCTGTACCCAGAACTCTGGGTGGAGTTCTGGGTTTGAGGGCCATTTTTAGATACAGCTTTTCTGACTGAGAAAGTGGATGCTTGCATCACGGTGTCAGCATCAGTTTGTGCTTAAACATTGATGTTCAAAATCACCATGCTGAGGAAAGATTAAATTATTTGCCACATTGTGTAAGCCGATTAAATCTTAGTTTACACCTGTTTACATAGCAGGTGGTGGCTTGGTAATCAGAAGTTTGCAAGTCTGGCATAAATCACTGCCACTTGAGGCTCATGTTTACTCAGTGAACTATGTCAGCCTTGTTCCTTGCATGTGGAAAAAGCCCAGTATTGTATAAATGGGGCCCTCAACTTCTTTCTAGGACTTACAATCACAAAGAGAAGGGACTGAGAAAAGCAGAAGGGAAATCAATCCAGAGAAAATGGTCACATGCTAATTTTATGCTACTGTACAGTGTAGTAAAAAAAAAACAATGCTTCTCAATACTTGGCTGCTCATGAGAATCACCTAGGGAGATTTAAAAAAATCCTAATGTCCAGGTCACACCCCAAACCAATTACCTCAGAATCTCTGGGGGTGGGGCCCAGACATCAGTATTTTCCAAAACACCCCAAGTCACTACAATGTGCAGCTAAGGTCAGGAAGCACTGGTCTAGTCAAACCTCTGTTCCTGTTAGAATAACATCAGATATGAAATTTTGACTTTCCTGAAAGATCCAGAATCATATTTTTCTCTTTTTAAAATTTTCTTAGCAGCACTTTTGCATGGTAGATTTTAACCTGTCTCCTTGAGACTTTTTTAAATTTTTGAGTGTAAGAGAGAAAATATAAGCAGAATTGTAACTCCTAAGAGGTTGTAAAGAACATGTAGTTTCAGGAGTTCTTTACTCCTCACATTGTATAACACACACAAACTCTCCTTTAAGACCCTTTCTTTTTTCTCCCATGCCATTTACTTCCGCATACACATCATCATTAATCACTTCTTTGCTGTTTCATTAACCTGATTTCCTGGGAAGCTAAAGTAAGTGTGTTTGAATTATATTTTATCAATAAGACCATATTATGTTCTCCCTTATCTTTCACTTTCATGGTTGCCTTTTTCTCATTTTGTGTTATCTTTATGTGTGAAGGTTAGGTTAACATCATTAGAGCCCATAATTAATTAAACTTCTAAATGATTCAAACCTTCCAACTTTAGCTTAGACAATCTCTGTTTCTATAGGTCATTCATTAAGATGCCAGTCTGTGAGATGCTGTAGTCTCAGATCTTCTTGTGGGTAATTGTAAACATCCATCCTTTCTGAGAGCTGCCCACAGCATCAACTTTTCCAAAGTACATAAATCTGTTTAAGTTCTATAAACACAAATGAAGGTCAAGGCTGAAATAAATAGGCCTCATATTGTGACTATTTATTGTTTAACAAATGTTTGGTTGGTGAGTGCCTTCAGTGGAGCCATGTCTGATCTAAATTGGGCGAGAGTTTGAGATGGGCTGGAGCTGGGCATGTATATTTGACCCATTTCTGCACACCTAGAAAAATTGGTGCCGCAGAGTGTTAAAAAGCTTAAAGCCAATTTGCTGGGCATGGTGGCTGGTGGCTGGTGCCTGTAATCCTAGCTACTTGGAGGCTGAGGCAGGAGAATTGCTTGAATCTGGGAGGCAGAGGTTGCAGTGAGCCAAGCTCATGCCATTGCACTCCAGCCTGGGCAACAGTGAGAGACTCCATCTCAAAAAATAAAAAAAGAAAAGAAAAGAAAAGGAAAAAAAAAGCTTAAAGCCTGGGCTCTGTTCTTTTGGGTTGATGAGGATGACTATGGTGATGATTTGTCACTGTGTGCTATATATGCTAAGTATTTTGTACACAACACCCCATAATTTCTCATAACAGTAATACATTTTATCATAAACAAAATAATAGCATAGTAGAATATATTATATAATAGTATATAATTTGATATAGTAATTATAATATTTTAGTATATTATTATTATCCTTTATTATAGATAACGATACTGAGACTCAGTTTGGTTAAGTAGTCTGCCCATGATCATTCAGCCAAAAAATGGTAAAATTAGGATGAAAACCATTCTTAATCCAAGAATTGTGCTATTGGCTAAGTAAAGCTTTTGGTTTGAGTAAATCGCTTCATTTCTCTAAGCCTTTTTCCACATTTGTAAAATAAAGGGAAATAATTGAGTGATTTCTAGCTCTAAAAGTTTGTTTTATTTTCTATCTCAACAGAACCAACGAAAAGAGCCAACACTTTGGTAAAACATTGTGAGAAGTGGTAGATACATAACAAATTTATCACCATCAGAAAAAAGCAGTGATATATTAAAACACAAATGCTACACAGGCATGGTCTTAGCAGACAATCCTTAGGGCACTGTTAGAGTAATACTTGGAGAACTTTTGGTCTGCATGAAGAGCCAAGGGTTTGCTCTTTCCTTCTGGATGGGTTTTGGTCCATTGTTATTAATTCACATGCAGGAAGACTGGATCTAGTTCTCCCTTGAAGATAAAATATTGGGAAAACTTTTTTAGAATTTCTAGAATTAAGTTTTAGAATTAAACACATCCCTAACATTTCTAAAGAAGGTAATTTAATCAAATGGCTAAGAAGTGTTTTCTTAGTCCAAGATTCATCTCCTCATTTAGCAGTTAATTATACAGGTTCTGGCATTATTGAGATCTAAATTTGAATCTCAGCTCTGCTATTTATCAGCTTTTTGACCTTGAGCGAGTTACTGATCTGCACTGGACCTCAGTGTTCTAGTGCACAGGATGGAAATAACAGGTGTACCTACAGTTTTTATAAGGAATAAATGAGGTAATAGATGCAAAGAACTGAGCTGAATTTTTGGTCATACTAAGCTTCAGTTCGTCAACACTGCTGCTGTTTATTCTTATTATCATCATCATTATCATTAGCATCCTCCTCCTCATCATTTCTACCAGGCTAATGCCTCTTAAAAACACTGTTGCTATTTGGACTATCCTGCTGGTGCAGCAGAGAAATTTCTTTTTTAACAAGGAATATACTTAGCTACATTTTTGTCAGTGGCTATTTGTCTCCGATCTGTGGTTCATTCCTATGCTAAAAACAAAGCAAAGCATAACAAATCAAACAATGGCAACAAGTAAAACAGCACAGAGTCCAGGCAAACTGG